AAAAAAAATTAATAAATCCGAGATCCATCATTGGTTGAGTGTGATTATAAATTTAGGTTTTTAAATTTAAGTCGCCACTGGTACTTCTCTTGAAATGGATATATTTGACGATTTCTTATACATATATAATATATATATACTTTCTCTAGCTACCATAATATAGTATGTAAATAATACATTAATATGTTATATTCAGTATTCTTGTTGGTGCGAGAATACGCGTAATTGGTTCATAATTATATTTACTTCATAACCAATGAAGTGGTTATTAAGTGGATGTTAAAATATCAGTTAAATKWKKTWATTATTTTATKAATGATCTAATTTTATAACATTTAGAATAGGTACAAGGGCCGTAATAATAATAATAACTATAATAACAATATTATTAATATTATATTGGTAATGGAGCACGAACATAATATTATTTATAAAAAAAAGTATGCACGTACTTGACATTTAATTCGCGCTCTACAATGTTTATTAATTATAAGTGTTTTTTTATTTGATTTGTACTTGTATGATTGTACAGGTATTTTATTTGTAAACGTCTAAAAAAATTTGAATCGTGTGTGTACCTAGTTAGTGTGGATGGAGAGCCCTACAAACCCATGCATGCGAGTTGTGGACTTGGAATCGATTTCGACGATTGTTCATAACATACGAAAAGACATAATCGTAGTTGTCGACAACACGTTCCAGACACCTTATTTCCAAGTAAATAAACGAACATYAAATCATCTATTTCATAATTTGAATAGGTATAATGTTTAGATATAATTTTGTATAATATTTTAAAAATCTTAAAACGTATATTTGATACACATTACACATCTGTACTTAATATGTACATACGGATATAGGTATASAAATATAGAATAATAATGAAACATTTTATTAATTTAGGACTGAGCTCAAATAATGCATAAAAAAAATTGATGAATTAAAAACTTCAAAAAATAGCTTACAAGTTTAGAATTACAAAAAAAATCTTTCAAGTTATGATCTTATGATATACATATTACTAAACATATAAAATTATAAAATTTTGATTATAGTATATTTTTTTTATCGTATTAATTACCTTATAAATATTTTTCCAATAATGACGATATGYGTGGTATGAGATTTAATCGTTTAATACATTGTGTTTTGTTATTTGTACACAGAGACCACTCGAATTGGGTGCAGATGTCGTGCTTTACTCTCTGAGTAAATATATGAATGGTCATTCGGACGTCATAATGGGTGCACTTGTCGTAAACGATACGGAGTTATTCGATCGTCTAGCCTATATTCAGAATTGTAAGTACTTACACTCATATAAGTTAATTCGTTTTGATATTATGCTATAGTGTGGTCCTACTGTATAGCCCATGGTGGATCAGCGTTAGTGCGTTACATATATGTACTCCTATTACATTTGAAAAGTCAAAAGACCTTGAAAATTATCCGATTTCAGTTAGGTTCTCAAGAGTCAATTATAGACTATATTTTACTATTAATCTTTATAACTCTCGRCGACCATGGTTTAATACCGGTTTCAGATCGAACCTAAAATCMAAAAGTTGAATATTGTAAATACTCAAAAAAAKGTGTTCAAGAAATGTGCYAGATAAGTGGAGTCGGTCGCCGTTTATTGACACAAAATTTCAAAATTCTAGTMATTTACTTGAGTGTTGCTTCAATACATTTATTTCACTAGAGCCTATACCTAAACAATATTAAAATAATGCRGCAATAATAATATTTWAAAAWTTTTATTTTATTCTATTCTCAACATTTCATATTATTGTATAATATATAAATTATTAAAATAGGTACCTACTATTTAGTATTTATTGACATATGCGACAGAGCTWTGGTTTTCATTGTATACCTACTATATAAAACAATAACGTACACAATATAATGACACGTCTTACAAGACACGACGTATAAATAATATGTTTATTGCGGCGCATCCGAGTTGGGTCCCGAGTACTATAGGGGCTAATCGCAATTTTCTATACTAGTTGGGTCCCAGATTTTTAAAGTTACTATACTAGTTGGGTCCCGGATTTTTATAAGTACTATACTAGTTGAGTCCCGAATTATTTTAGGTATTCCACTGGTTCCTGAATATTTTTTGGTAAGTACTACACTATACTAATATTTTCATTCCCATTTTAACAGACTRTCATTGATCTATTTAGTCCACAGGTATGGTTAAAAATGTTTTTTACAGTTTTTTTAAGTATTAAAATATATAATATAATATATAATAAAAAAATTGCAGGAATAATCAATCGATTTGATTTTGTAAAATTAATGTCGTATACATTTT